CACGAATCCTCCCTTCTCCAAGCGCCGGGTTTGCTCCGATTCAGCAATTTTGCCAATGACTCATTCGAAAGTAGGACACTAAGAAAAGGCAGAGACCGACTTTCCATTTGGTTGGACTAGTCTTGTAGCGGAAAGGCGAAGGAGGATATTGTGAAGCACACTGCAGAAGAACTGGAGTACTGTGGTAATACACCTTCATCAGTCATGTTGTGCTGTTAAAGTGCTAAGAGTTAGTTCTCTAAAGCAAGAAATGCCTCCTGCCTCTCAAAGCAGGAGCAAAGCACTGCCTGTAAGGAACCATCACCAAGAAAATTCTTCGTATTATTCAATTATTCATCCGTCTCCGTCACAGGCAACAGAAAATAACTATCTTTACACGAGTTAACTGTTAAGATACTGGAGGATTTAAGAGATGCATCACTAAAAAATAACCAAAAGTCTCACTTGCAACAAAAAGGGGCTTTGAGGGGGAATAAAGCACCAGTGCAGTAATGTCAAGTAAAAAGCAATTGAAATAATGCCTGATTTCCACAAGTTGAGAAACCTCTGCAAAGACCAAAGCGGCTTCTGCTCCACTTCCACGCCAGCAGCTTTTTGTACGTGGGAAATTCACGCAGAAACAACCCACGCTATTAAGATGCATGAAGTCCTCAGGCAAATGGCACAGATTTGGAGTAAGGCTGAGGCTGCTGTGGGAAACGCACACTTGCTGCTTTGCTTCAGCCTCTAAGTTACAGCAATTTGCTGGAGCTGCAAGTTTTCACACTGCATCAATAAAAAAGCAGGCGACGGCCAAGCCATAGAAGCTTCTATGCTGCCAGCCTCGAAATACACTTGTTCTACCCATTAATATCATTTATGACGACATCTTCTCAGGTTTTCCCAGTAGATCAGGACACTGCTTTAAGAAATACACATGCAAAGCTGGTTTTTTAATCATGTCTAGGCGAGGGCACGGCTGGAATTATGAGATACGAGCGAAATTGCTAAACAGCAGCAAAAATAAAAGCGTTATGTTAAGCAGAGGCCACCCTCACGCAACACTGAGCCTGGTCCGTGCGCACGGGAGGACGAGACACCGAACAGAGTCCCGAAGCCCTGCAGGAGAGAGGCCTGCGGGCTGGGGGAGGCTCCGGGACATGTACCACTTGCCCTGAGAGGCAGAACAAGCCTTAAAACCACACACACCCTCACAGCAAGAGGAAAGGCCCGGCTACGGCGGGTGCAGCCGTCACTGCCTTCCCAAAGATCCTTGGAGCGGTGGGAAAATGGAAACATGGGACCCAACTACCCTTCCAAGAACTTATTCAGGGGGATGCTGAGGATATTCCGAGCCTACATCAAGCAGGTTGGAACTTCACTGGGGGCTTGTGCTGGGGAGCAGAGGCGTTTAGCCTACTTTAATCCAAAATAGCTCGCGGATCCCCACTTCTGACTGGCTCACAAGACCCGAGGACCAAAGGAGTAATTATGTGCTGTTAAATCAGATTCCTACGGGAGCAGTGTGCAGAAAAGGGAGAAGAGAGGGGTCAGAGGGAGGGTGGCAACAGAGACTAATGCAGAATCCATGGGTGACACTATAGAGCATCGAGGGGCTTCAAAGTATCGTTGTCCACCTGCAGAAACACTGAATTACGCAGTTATGGCGCAGGCCCTAGCCTGCTCCAGCCTCGATCCAACAGCAAAGACCCCGGAAGACCGAGGCGCTCCTCTGAGGTCCCGAGGACTTCATCCATCGGGGACCAGGCGGCAGCTTCTCCACGACCTCCTGCGCTTCTCTCTGCGGTTCAAAGGGCTGCAGAGAGTCAGTTCTTCTTCTCCTTGCAATCCTGGCAAGCTTTCCAGGAAAACGGTCCTTCCCGAGACACCTCTGCGCTCCCAAGAGAGCCACAGGCCCAGGGGATGGCCCAACTAGAGGTTTTCACTGCTTTGAAGAAGCCGTTCAAAAGGCTGAGGGTGAAAACAGTCTCCTTTAAGCGTAAAGGGGGACTCGGAAGGCCTGAAGGCAAAGAAAAAGCACATCAAAAAAAAAAAAAGAAAAACGAAAGAATTCCTAAAACGACAGCTGGGGAGAGTCTAGGAGCTTCAGCTGTGACTCACCAGGGGCACCTAGAGCCAATTCTTCCTTTTTTCATCCTAGAGCACGCTAGGGACCAGGAAGGGTTGTTCTGCTCCTGTTCTTGAGCTCAGGAGCATAGTTTATGATATAACCTCTACATTAATTTCCAGAGAAACAAATAGTCAGAGGAGGATGTTACGGCAGCTATCACCAATACAAAAAAAAAAATGCAAAAAAAGTTAATTTGAGTATTTTAATAGACTGAAGACCTTTTTATTGACCCTCCTCGCTGTTTTCCTCTGTACTACATAAAAGCAGTGCTCCTTAGACCTTTGAACACAGTTTGCAAGAGAATGAGAATGTCTGTTTCCACCAGCACGACTGCTCCTCGCACCCGAGCAGAGGCCCCGTGCGTCACCAGCTGATTTATCCCCAGCTTTGCTGATTTATTCTCCTCCTCACCACCCGGCCACCCCATGCACCACTACTGCAGGTCACCCTTCTCACCCTCACTGAGCTCAGCAGCGCCGCACACGCGTGCGTTTTAACATCCACAAGGAAGGACCGAAATCCCACCGGATCGGTGCGGAAGTCTCACCAAGCTCAGCTGAGTCTGCACATCTGCTGAGCCCCACAGGGCGAGGGGGACATTCGAAACACAGCTTAATGTGGCAACGGTAAAAGATAGCGTGGAAGGAAGCAGTGCAAGTGATGGATGGCGGCGAATCCATCTCAAGCTGTGATTTAATTTCATCTAAGGAAACATCTCCAACATAAAACTCAGACTTCTGGCAAGAGACTGTATCTAAGTGTTGGACCATAAATTAGAAATGTGCATGAGTAACTACCCTCAAATGCTCTACACAGCCCTGATAAATAGGAGTGAAAACTGTTCACAAACAAGGAAGGAAAAAAAAAGAGGAATCCAGGAAAGACAAACTCGCAGTGCTTACGTGATCTCTGAGCAAATAAAGTATCGATACGCAACTAGGAGGTTCATTAAGAGAGGTTTTGCCAGGAGAGCTTTGTAAAGAACAGAGTTCATGAGCAGGCGTGGGTTTTTTTGTTCGCGTTTTGGAGCAGCAGAGAAGATATGGAATAAGAAGCCAAAATGAACAAAGGAGCCTGCTGTCGCTGCCATAACCCAGCCCATCGCTAACATCATCGCCAGCTCCATTACCACTCACTGCATTACGTCTAAACATGGACTGTAAACTCTCCCTAATTCTGTTTGAGAGCGTTCTGTAGAGTTAGGGAGCTCTCTAAATAACCACAAATTAAGTTACAAGAGCAAAGGAGGAGACTGGGGCAGAGCCAAGTGCTGGCGTCCTCCAGGGAAGGCTGCACGAGGGAGCAACATGAGCAAGTGCCGAGCCGGAAAGGCCCGAGGCCACCTCGGACAGGAGGGCTCGAGGAGCGGGGCCTGCGCGGGGCAGCGCTGAATGCGGTGTCCGGAGGCGGCCGCACGGCCCGCGCGCCTCGGAAGCACACTAAAACCCCCACATCCCACCACGTCTCACTGGGAGAAGTGCCACCATTCGGGTCCTGTTTTAAGGCAGTTCATGCAGAGCGACAGGACGGGCACTGCCCCTCCTTAGAGCAGTTTCTGCCATCAAAGAGAGGATTAAAAACACCAAATCGCTCCATGCTGAGGCAGAAACATATCACAACTTACTTTGCAGACCCCCCCCACTAACTACTTCATAATGCAAAAATACCATTTGAATGTGCAAAATGCATAAATATTAAAAGCTGAGGGAATTAAACCTATGCCCTGAGAAAAGACTTAGCCTTAAAAGGACAGAACATTAAAGCTGTTTTGGGAAGCTACCAGAGAGCATTTGCAGCTCTACAGCATTAAGAGTTTGGCAGGAAACTATGTTTAAAAGAATCCTTTATTGCCTTAAAAATCCTCTTGTTTAAAGGAACAATTTAAGAAATTATCTTCTGCACGTATGCACACACACGCACTCGAGTTATACATAATCTCTCGTTTTTCCCATATTTGCTCAAAAGGCACAGACAGGAGAGAAACCTCTGTTATTCTGGGAGGCTTTTCATGGCCAAAACGCTCAGAAGTCTACTAGACAGCTCTGATAACGAGCAAGAGACAGGAAAAGCCTCTACCCACTTGCACTGTACCAAGTGAAACCAGTAATTTATTTGCTGGGCTCGCTCAGTTAAACACGATGTCAGCATCGGAACTCATTACCACCAGCCACAGATAGACCAGAGCTGCTGCAGCAGGAGGCCCTAAGTTTGAGCCAGCCTGGAAATTCCTACAGAAGAGCATATACTTGCTTAAAAAACCCTAAGATAAATCTGAAACCTGATGGATCCCCCAAAAAGCAGAACATTCCCTCCTCTCCTGTTCCCAGAGAAAACAAAGCCCTAAGGCAGCACACGGCATGACAAACCAGGTGTGCTAAACCACAAACCCTACACATTTCATGCACAAGGCAGAAAAATACTCTTTTTAGTGGCACAATACACTGCTGCTGCAAAGATCCCCATATGCTTTCCTAACATTTATCAACTTACTGCAACGTCTTACGAGGTAGGGAGGTATTATTATGTTCTCCTGGCCCAATGAGACAGTCAAGTCCCATTTTCCATTTCTGTAACAACATTCTCCTTTATAAATCCTTAATTTACAGGCAAGCCATCAGCTCAAAGCCGCAGGATTAAATGTGGCTGGAGGTTTGTTCTAAAGGATCTCAGCACTAAGGTAAGAATTTTGACCATCTTTCTGTATACAGCGAGCTGGACAATTTTAGCATCATTTTTTTTCCAGGCAAGCGTATTCCAAGCAACTTTCCAAACATATTTGTTCCTTAATCTCTTTCTGTGAAACCATTCTCTTTTCTTCTTTCACGTTTTAGTCTCCAGGTGGTGAAAAACCACCCAGAGGCAGGTCAAACATACGCAGGTGAGACCCTACCTTCCATGACATACACGAGGGAGCCCACATCTCCTTCCTTGATGATGCAGCTGTCCTTGCCATACTCCACGGGATACATACAATCCACAATCTCCTGGATCTGTGACAGCTCCAGGTTCTTCATGAAGTCGTTGTCAAGGATTGCTTCCTTTATTAGTTCCTTGGACCTACAAAGAAGAGAGGAGAAGGTTTATCCACATGTCCATCAACTGAGCTCACACACAGTGTGTGGGGCCTCACTCTCCCAACAGGCCAGTTTTTCCCACAAAAAAATCCCAAATTCTTCCTACAAAGCACTATACAATCACAAAAAAAAATCCTTGAAACTTATTGACAAGTTTTATAGACCCAGTTTTGAATTAAAGAGCAGATTCCACGGAACTGCAAGATCCTTTTGCTTATAAGTTTCATGTCTATGATGACTTCAAAGACTAACAACAGCTTCTTGAAATATCTTCCACTCCCAGGCACACAAGAAATGTAAAGCTTTTACTTAGCTGGTTGTAAATGACAGAGACTGGGTAATATAAAAGCCAGAGAGACTCAACAAATGCCCTCACATGCAAGACTGATCAGACTCCAAAGGCAACAAAATTCAGAGGAGACATTACCATTGCAAACACAACACACTGTTCATCCCTTTGATTACTCATTAGTGGAAAATTCAAGAAATTCAGGCAAATTCAAGAGTTTAGGAGGGAAACAGCCGTTTCTGAAGACAGAAGAGTCACATCCAACCCGTCAGTTTGCACCCAGCAGACACAAGCAGATGCCCACCAGGAGCGTGCGGGAGACACAACTCTCAGTCATCCCCTCCTTTCGGCCTCGAGCACCAGCACGGGTCAGTCCGTACGATCAGACCAGACCTCGACCAGCCCAAAAGCCCCCAGACACGTCCAGGGTGGACACCGGCTCCTCTGCACTTGGCTTCTCACCTTACAGATCTGCTTCCGTGGGCTGAACAAGTTGCTGATGTGAACACAGCCTAGGTGGACAACTGCAACCTGCAGCACCAGAATGAGTTTTATGTCACTGAAATAACAGATGGAAAATGAAAAAAAAAAAAGAGTAGACTTTTAAAGGATGTTAATGAATCGTGCTCTCTGGAAAGGCGGCCAAGTGGGGGTATAGGAGTCCAAAAAGAAAGCCATCCTTAGGGATATAATGGTTATTTGTAGGATACAGGTTATTGGGGATACAAGGCTACTTCCAGCACAGATTTAGTTCTTCAACACTTTGCATTTTTGTGTTTGTGATTGTTTGGGGGTTACTACAGCAAAACCTACGACTTCACATTCACGGCCCATCAGTTCCCACCTAACTGAAGGGCAGGACATGGAGCAGAGCAGACATCTCAGTACCATCTGTGAGAAAAAGCCACCACCAACAAAGAAATTTGAGTGCTACGAAAACACTTTGCTCTCACAAACCCTTACGTGACATTGCATAGTGCCATTCCCATTCCTACAACAAGCAAACAAAAGGCACCCAGGCAGCTTGCAGAAACATCTGCAAGAGAAGGGAGGGAATTTAGCTGGGGTTGGACCTCTTCTGTTGACTAAGAGGCCAACAGAAGCAAAAAGAGGTTTTATCAGAGGAATCCAGCAAACAGTTTGAAGGAATTCTGGAAACGTGGCCTGTTGGCTGGGGAGAGAGCAGCACGGAGGCGAGGAAAGACCTATCTGATGTTCACAGCGAGGAACAGCAGCAGGACATGCACGATGGGAGCAAACTACTGGGGCTCGCGAGTTTCATAGCGACCTCCTGTTCCAACAGGAGTCCCGAACCAGCAGAGTCCCAGCACAAAATACTTCAGTCCTTCAACACAGAGGTCCTGCAGGAGCCCACTGAGTCATTCAACCCCTTTTACTGTCCATGAAGGACTGCCACCATTAAGACAAAACCCATGCTGGCCACAACACCCACAACACACTCTCTGCCAAGACCCATCGTATTCAACTTAGATATCTCCACAGAATAGCTGGGGAAATAACGCTGCTGCATCTGAACATTAAAAGTGTGCATGTTCCTAAGCATTCCTTTAAACAGTCGCCCTGCAATAAGGGGGTTTCACACTGAAATGCAGCAGGAGGGGAGGAGATCGCCTCCCGACGCCCCTCGGCCGCGGCACGGGGCGGGAAGGAGCGCCCTGCGCCTCACGCCGGGCCTGCGCGCCGCCCCCAAGCGCGGACCGCGGTGTGAAGCTACAACCCCTTCCAGCAGCGCCGTTCCCATCTGGCTTCAGAAAGAAAACAGACACGCTCAGCTCGAACCATTTCAAAATCAGTTGGATACTAAAAATATATCGTCATAGCTACAGCAGGATTAACTCCGTTGTTCCAGGGAGGCGAGCGCTCCTCAGGCCAACGGCACACGGCAGCTCCTCACGGCACACACGTTGCCGTGCCCGCCTGCCTGGCGTGGCCGGTCCTGCGCCTTGCTGCAGGGTGTCTGGAGCACCTTTCCTTCAGGAAATCCTACAAACATATTCCCGGTGAATGGCACCCATCCCAGACGCGGCGCCTCAACATTTCAATGCGGAAAAGTGAGGGAAAATAACCATGGATGCGCTCAGAAATTTCAGCAAGTTGCTGGTTTCGTTCAATCTTTTAATTTTTAAGGGTGTTTATGTTGTATTTTCGCACTCAAGGCTCTAATGGAAAAGGCCCACAAACAAAATCAGCCTACACTCCTGGAAAACGTCTCTTCTAGTACAAAATGACCCTATTTCAAGAGTGCATTTGCATGAATATTTACTTCTTTGGAAACCAAACGGCTCCTACCATGGAGAATCATTCGGAAGAGACCAGATCCTTGCTCTCCAGGGGCAGGGAACATGGCACCAAATCATGGCTTCTTTATTCCTGAGAAATGAATGACAAGACTGCTACTCCGTCTGTGCTTCGCGTTTGATAAACAGGGAAGTTCGGAGTAATCTCCGACCTAAAGCACAAGCTAACAACAGCCTCTGCGCTAGGTTCGTACCTTCAGGCACACGGATAAATCTGAGGACAAAGTGCTCATCTTCATCCCGAAAGGTCTTC